CCTGGTCGTCGACAGACATGTGGACTTGGTCATCTTCGCCCCCTGAACTAGTGATCTTCTGCAACCATTCCTTGGATACCTAGCCGCTGGAGTCTCGCTGTCGCAGCATTGCCCTTCCTAACGCAAGATATCTGCGCCTCCATTCATGTACCGTGGAAATCCTTCACATGAGCCGTGCTGGAGATGTCATCCACAAATATAGTGATTTTTCGTGGTTTTTTAGAGGTCAGAACAAAAAGTTCGGACACATTTTCGAAACGGGCGATTTTGGCGTACCGAACTCTATAGGGATATTGGGGGTCCTACAGCAAGACTATGTTAATAAGCACTGGCAGGAAGCGTACGGTACCGATAACTAACGGACGACGTGTCTTGGTCGCGTCAGAAAATCATGTGCGAGTCTATCACATGGTATTCACGTGTAGCAGTGACTCCCGCACTGGCCCCTTTCTAAGTCTTCGACCTTTTTTCCTTACTTTTCGAGCCCCTTTCCCTGGTTCGAGACATCACAGGACCACCCTAATAAACCGAACTGTCTCAGAAAATCTTCTCTATCATGTACTACAAAGAGTTAATCGTGATGGAAAAAGGTTCGACTGCCGATCACGCACGTCTGCTTGGTTCAAGATGCCTGTCTCTTTCCTCAGCTTCTCTGTTACTGTACTAATGCCCAGACAGTCGGTGCTGCATAATACTGAACTCCTCTTCTTAACTAGGCGCTCCGGCCAATACGGTGAAACCTGTCTGTGAAAGCGAAAAAGCCATGTCACTAACCGTCCTTCTCCTTGAATTACAGTCACGCCGTCATTTTGCTCGGACGCCTATCAGCAACGTACGGCATGCCCCTTCAAGAACCGTACATACGCATCATTCGTTTTATGCTCTGTTTTGGCTGACACTCGCACTGGTTACATTCAATGTCCAACTTCTTTGGCGCGGTACAAGAAGGTTTCCTTCGCTTCAAATCTGGAGTCCGCCCGAAATGACAGCACGGAAAGAATGAACAACCCGAATCCGGGCGTCACTGACCTATTCAATGTGTGCTCCAGCCTGTCGGTACGAGTGGATTGACGCGAATACTTGCATCTAGTGCTAGTATAGCGCGACGGGGTTGATCAAAGAGAAGAGAAGACAATCCTCTAGTCGGTCTTGTCAATCCGTGCTTGGCAGCTCGACGGTATGCATTCACTGTTGTGTCTAGGACGTTTTTGGGAATCATCTCTCGTATAAAAGAACTCGAAATCCGGCTGAAAATGACCATCGAACAGAGTTCTACCCCAGTTCTATCGAAGATGTTCTCCAAGAGTGAGAGCCGAACTCTATCTTCTTCTGCTCGTATGGCTGACGCTCTCCTAGTTTTGTTCCTGTTACCCGCCCTTTTTGGCATCGTGAACGCAAAGCCCACTGGTGGCGCAGGTCAGTTGCGCTGTATGATGCGCTACCTGCTAGCTCAACCATTTCTATATAGACGTAAGATCGTTGGATGCCCGCGATGTTGCGCCCGTCCTCGACTTTACCAATTCCTCGTGGATCTGGACGGGAGAGCAGACCGGATCGTCCGACGTCGCGCCCGACTGGGTGCGGCCATTCCGCAAGGCGATCCCGTCCTCCAGCACCAAATGTCCCGTGTGCGCGACGATCCTCTTATCCTGGTAAGTCCATCCCGCAATTATTCACGTGCGCATGTACTCAGCCGTACCTAGCGACGATCACTATTCACTCTTCGTCAATGGAAGAGAGATTGGATCGGGTGCTTGCTGGCAATCCACCGCCCCCTACATGTCATCCTACGTCTTCACTGTTGGTTTGGATCCAGAAGGCCATAACACTATTGCCATCGCTGGAGGGAACGTCGGCGGACCAGCTGGGCTTATCAGTACCATGCTTGTGGACTATTCGGATGGTACCACCGAAACGATCGTTACTGACGAGACTTGGAAGACCCTGAAAGCTGATCCTCCCGGTGGATGGACCAGCCCCAGCTATAATGATACAGCATGGACCCCCGCGGTATCAGAGGGCCCTACGGAAAGCACCCCTTGGAAGTCGCCTCCTCTTCCTCCCGCCTTGAACATGACCGGGGTGCATTGGATCCAGACGAACGAGAGCGTTTCGAGCGGGAGCGCTAACGGTCTTGGCCAGCGGCCCTTCCGGAAGACCATCACTTCGTCCTATGGGAAAGCCGCTGTCTGCGGCAAAGTCGTTCTCTCCGCGTACGTCTCCCCATGCCCTCCTCATTGATCAACTACCCCACTCACTCAAGTTGTTCTCCAGGGAGGACGCGTATACGCTCTACGTCAACGGGAAGAACGTCGGTAGTGGGTCGGGCTGGACGAAGATGCAGGCCTACTCGATCCCGGTGTTGGAAGGGGACACGAACCTCATCGCTGTCAATGGGACGAGTGCTCGAGCCAATGATAGGGTCTACCTCGCGGCGAGTGTGCTGGTTGCGTACGATGATGGGACGTCGGGGGTTTATTCGACTGATGGGTCTTGGAAGACTCTGAATGGGCTTCCTCCCGCTGGGTTTGAACAGCCCGATATGGATGATAGCGACTGGTATGGTGCTACGATCTGGCCGGGTCGTGATGTGGGCACGGACGTTACTGTCCCCGATGCTTAGACGGACTACTCACAAGTTCATTCTTCATTTCTTACGTCTTTACTCCCTTGATAGCTTCGTTTATCCGTTCTTATATAGTTGTTGCTTGCGAATGTTACTGTTTTTTCTTTTGTGCACATAAGTACTCGCAACCAACGAATACGGTGCGTTCTCTTCGTTGGACTTCTTCCTTTGTATGTGACGCATTCCCTTGAACAGGTGTCTCCCATGCTGGGGTTCTGTGACGATGGGTCTGTTCGGACTACAGGGAACCTTGACATTACCCTCGAAAGACTCGGACATGATAGGTTTTCGAGGGCAGAAGGGTGGTGTATAACTGGTCAGGTAGACTGCAGGCAAGAGACGTAACGTTACATCTACCCTGCGCCAACAACTCGGTCGTATCCCACAACGCAAGTAGTGAGTCTGTTCAATGGCAAAGCGATGACGGCACAAAAAACGAGCTGGACAGGTTGACGCGACAAATTCAGGACGGCGGCGGATACCGGGCCGCCCTGCTTGCTTCTCTCCTTCGAGTTAATGGCTTGTCCCTTCCTCCTAATAAACACTCCTCACATCGTCCGGCTCACATTCGCGATCTTCAGCACTGCTTACAACACGTCCTCTGAAGGGCGTACCTCTCGTTATCTAGCGTCACATATAACACCGTCGGCTGGCTGAAGGGCCCGGAAAACCGTGCGCGGACGGCTCTAGTCTCCACTTCTTCGTATTCATCCACATTTCTTCTCTGGACAGTCGCATCTGAGCGTATGTCGATTTCAAACTCTCAGTCCAGAGTAGCAGAAACCCAAGCTGTTTGCGTTAGGTCGAGTTCTCAACTTGCATTCAAAGCTGGGCTGAAGACTCCCCCACGGAGGGCGCTAGAGATGCCTTTTGGTACGCCTCTTGTCATGATCCTTTGATGTCATGGGAGCGATAGGCTAAGGATTTGCGTACTCGACAGATGTACATGCGTAACCTTTCCCTCCAGTCGTGCTCACCCCGTTTGCCGTTGGCGCATTCTTCGCCTGGATCTTCGTGTTCGAGGACATCCCACAGGAAGCATACCGGCTACATAAGTCGCGGTGTCTCTATACCTACTCGGATCATCAACTTTGTCCCCGTTCCATATATGCCTCGTGGTGATTAGTTTGTTCTGGAGCGGGTGTTGAGTTTTTTTTCTTCATCGACCACCACGTGTGAATGTGCGCCAATCCAAGTTGAAGTAGGAGGAACGCGTACTTTCAACGACCGTAACGGTTTCTGCCTCCACTCAAAATAATGAATTAGCGAAAGCTTCACTTCTTCCCCCCCCCTGCGACTTACCTTGCCATTCTTACCGGAAACAAGGGTTCGACCGTACCTCCAGATCTAGGGCACCGTACACCGTTTGGGGGCAGAATTACCCCCTATGGATCAAGGTGATGTGCGTGTATACACTGGCTAACTATGTTATCTACACACGACTCGACTTCCCGCTGAATTGACTCCACCCGTTGAATCATATCAGTACGTAACTCAATATCACTGGACTAAGTACTGAACGAGCGGCTATCACTGATCTAAGGTGACTTACTGGATGAACTCGATGGGAAACAGTCGGGAGATATGTAGGCGGATTTAGGATTACCTTGTCCTTAGTACTAAGGGCCAATGCGAAAACGCTTGTCGGATCCAAGGCTATGCGAAAAAATCATCCGGACTTTCTAGGACACAGGAGGACTCGGAAGGTCCTTGGATGCAGAGAATACTTCCTTCGATGATTGCCAACTAGTAAGTCATTCACAGAACAATGCTAGCTGCCGTACGCTCAAATGGTGCATGTGCATATGCCGGAAATACATATCTCTAAGTGTACCAAACGCCAATACTAAATACATTCCACTTCAGTCACAAGCGCCTCGACAACTTCCCAGCAGTGAACTTAAGAGCACCCTAAAGGTACATCCTGGTCTGATCGGGAGAAGTCTGGGATTTCAGGAAGTAGTGAGAGTGCGTCGAATAATGTGCCATTCAACTTGTGTTTTTGGGCTTCAAACACATGTCGGATCAGTTGACGACGGCTCCTTACTCTCTTTTGTCGGAACCCTTTACGAGGGAGGCATGACGCGTCGGGTGTGGAATAGTAGTAGCTCCTGGAATCAAAATGTCTCTCTAGAACAGCAGCTCGAAACCACCGATTCCCAAAGGTAAATATGGAAATTGCCTGTCTACACCCATCTCTTGCTCTTCGTCATAGTACTAAGAGAAACTGGTGGCCAGAAAAGAAAGCCACCAAGCGCACGGGAGGTTCCCAGGCTTATTAGGGCACTGACCACCCTCCAGATGTCGGATATCTCATAAACTGTTAAACTCTTCGGAATATAAAAGGTTTAAAACATAGATCTGGGTCAAACTATTCGGATACGGGGAATCGAACCCCGAGCTGCCGCGTATAAAGAGGAGAACATGCCCACTCATGAGAGGCGGCAATGTTAGCCGTTACACCATATCCGATGTATTCCTTGTTTCCAGATATCAATGTAGGAAGGGCAGGCACGAAACGGGTAATTTGTGTGCTACCGTTACTCCATAGGTGGTCTCACGAGACGGGCGCTCCAACTGTGGGCTTGAGCTCGCGGTTTCCAGCACGTGAGAGGCGATGATGATTTCTTAGGAAAGGGGGCTGTCGACAAGTGCGCAGTCTGACCGACAGCGCTTGGAATGACACGTATGCCTAGAGAAGTTATCTCAGAAGATATCGATAGGCGCTCTAGAACTTTGACCTCCATTTTGCTCATTGAAGGGGCGACTGGTCGTTGGGTGTGAAGTGTAAGATGGTATTCGTGAGGAGTGCCATGCCAGGTCGTTTCCTTGTGATTGGGCGTGCGAGAAATAACGGCAGAGATATACAAGTGTCTAGGAGACTCTACGATAAGCACACGTCGATGACGAGGGCATACCTCTATACTATCTTCATCGGCACCTTTTCGTGTTCCTTCTGCTCCTGCTCCAGCTGTGCCTGACGCGCATTCACCGCACTGAGGTACGTGTCTACCCACGTGTCAGCACCGGACCGCGAAGAAAACGAAAGCACGCACTCCAGAACAAACTAACGACACTGACCACCACAAAGCGCATATGGTGCGGGACGAGGGCAAAGTTGATGATCTGGGTGGGTATGAAGACGCCCCAATTGCGGAGGATGGTCGGGACGTAGGCGGCCTGGATGCGCGGGTACGCCTCCTGCGGGACGCCCTCGAGCACGGACATGCACGTGAAGAACGCGCCGACCGCAAACGGGGTGAGCACCGCCTGGTCGAGCCACACGCGGTACACGATGGCGCGCGTCGGCGAGGCGAACTGGATGCGGTTGAGGAACTGGTACCACCATGTCATCACCGGCCCGAACAGCGCGCCGCCGTAGAATGTCAGCCGCACCGTGCGGGTGATCTGCGGGGCGGGTTAGCAGCGAGGGGGCCAGGGCAGGGGGGCTACGCACGTCGTGCCGTCGGAGGCCTCGCTTCTCGATGAGCTGCTGGGCGATGATGTCGCCGGTGCCGAAGAGGACGGCTGCGGTGCCGCACTGGGTGAGCATCGGCCGCCGGATGAGGAGCGCGCTGTCATTTGCTTAGTGGGAGCGGGAGAGAGAGGAAGGAGGACAGACTTGTACGCGCGGAAGAGAGAGGCCATCAGGGTCAGAAGCAAGCGGGGAATGATAGGGCCGGTATATCTCCGCCACCCCTGAATTTGTCTTTCGCGTCGACCACTACGTCAAGCCACTCGCCAGGACCAGGTTACCTCGCCGGAACGTACCTTTCTCGTTCTACCTATCCCAACACCTTACCTTTATGACAAAATGCTAAAGCACGGAACTTCCAAAAGCATGTTGCAGAAGACGAAGATCTGATATCGTCGCTCGAAGCTATAAGAACGCATGTCAACCACAGCCAACCATCTCTGTTTCGATGGCTCATACAGTCACCAGTAACTCCAATAAAATTCAACGAGGGAACGCGGTATGAACTAACCGCGATTTGTGCTACTACTCATTCGAAGGCTGAGCGCTGGCGCTGGCGCTGATGTCCCAGAGACGGGATAGACTTATCAAAGGTGTATGGGGAGAATCAAGGTTCAAGGTTTTGGCGCGCTGATGTTGACGCGAAAGACGAATTCAGGGGTGGCGGAAATATACCAGCCCTATTCCACCGCTTGCTTGATGCGAGTATTGTCTCTGCGGACAAATTCCATCACCATGGACCCTTTTTGATTTTGGGGATCCATCCAGTTGCCAGTGGGCGAACTTTAAAACTCAAAATGTTAAACTTGATCTTCATCCTATATTGAGCTTGAATCTGAAGTTGAATTTGATATTGAATTCTGCAGCCATCATTCTACTTTATTCGCTTCGCAGGAGACAGATGCTTATTATCCAATCAATTTCTTCTCATTCTAAACCCCAAGGCCCGGGACCTGGCCAAGATCCTATCTCACCTAGCAATTCTCAGCATCCGTGAGGCTTATTGACGACCTCGACACGAAGACGCTTCTCATCTTGATCAAAAGATATCTGACTCTGATCTCCGCCTGGCCAAAAGAAGTCCGTCCTGGGAATGTCGACAAAGCGCAGACACTCCGTCGGTTCAAGTCGTACTTGTCGGGGTTTACGGGGAAGTAACGGAGGAAGCTAGGGACTCTTGTCCATACTTGTGTTTTGAAGTGTGTAACATTGGCCTTTTGTGATTCTGACTTTTGATTCTCCGCGGACGGGCGTACACCGTAGTAAGGGATATACAGGTGTCTAGGTGACGCGTACATGGAGAGGGGAGGGAGACCTCTGAGGAACTCGTCTGCCGAACGGGACGATGGGTACATAGTTCCTTATGGAGACTAGAGTTGTGAGACGCGCCCGCAAAGCGGATGACGTGTGTGGCGGTGCCGCATCGATAACCTGATGTCTCCCGCATAGAGTCCGAGTAAAAAGGGTAGAGGCGAGAAAAGAGATATATAATCCTCGCAAGGCGATTTGGTTTGTGGGATGGGGAGGGGCCTGGGCGCGCCTCCGTTTAGATGGTCATTGAAGAAAAGAGACGGATGTATTCTGGGGAGGGAATGACTACAAAACCTGAGAACTTGAAGAACAGGCAGGTCTAACGCCAACTTCTTCTGCTGCAGGGATAGCTCCCGAGATGTCGAGCGGCGACAGCGATTCTTCCTCTTCTGCAGCATGCTTTTGGGAGTCTCTGCCTTGGCGTTTCGTTATAGAAGTCAGGTGTCGGGAGAAGTGGAACGAGAAGGGTACGTTCTGATGATACTCGCAGAGAAGGATGGAGTAAGAGGTTGCAAGAAGAACGGGAGGGAAGGAACACGGAGTACTAGTTCGCATCGGAAATGGAGACGACGTGTTGGGTTGTCAGCGTTGATAGCCAAGGTCGGTATTGGTAAAGGTGGATTGTTTATGTTTATGGTCTGGGGCGCGAGAGAAGGGACTTTACCTCCTCTCGTTCGCGCGCGTCTCGTGGACGTTGTGGTCCGGGAAGGCGGGGCAGAGAGAAAATAGAATTCCGAGTGTAGGCAGGCGGCAATGGGAAATGGATGGAGGCAGGTCGGTCACTCGGATCTGACTCCTCCCTTGCATTTGGCAGGCGCCTCCCTTGTCAGGTTCCGCGATGAACTTTGTCATGGGCAAGGTAGATGGAAAATAGGCAAGGGTTCAAACGAAATGACCGCCTCTCCGATGACGACATTGTAATTGGAAAGAGAGACTTCCAATGGGCAGAAGGATTGTGAGAAATGCGTTGAAGTCTTTGCGTCGCGTCAGGTAGACTGTGCATCTAATCAGCCTGTGTCTCACCCGCGATGAATCGATGAAGGTCGGCGTTTCTCTGCGCGGTGCTTATGCTTTTGAGGATGCAGCGCAGACCAGTCCAGGGTCGTATACAACACGCGGACACGTCCGTGCAATTCAGGGCCAAGTGCTGAGTGGACGCACCAACAATCCACGTCAGGCAAAAGTTTTCGAGTGCAAAAAATCTTCCACTTACTATGAGTCCCCACAGCACGAGTTGAAGAATCGGACTCTGAGCTTGAGAGGTAGCCTGATCACTATATCCGACTAGGTTTAGAGGACCTGACAACCGACCTTCAGCTTCATCGACATCATCGAAACACGGACTGGAGAATTCGACTTCGTAGGAGACGTCTAGGTGTCAAGAAATTCCGACATAGAGGCTGTTTTTCCGGATGCGAGTCAAGTAAGTAGTCGAGCATAGTAGATGGATGTAGGGATGGATGATGTTACGGCTGAGGAGGGCAGCACCAAGTATGGCTCCAAGCGTCGTCGGAACTTGGGTTCATCCTCCTCAACTAGTCGGTACCTCCCAAAAAACCGGGGTCCCATGACGAAAAGACAAATTCTCCAGTGAGACAGAGGGAGTAGAGGGTATCGTCTCGGCGGACGTATTCTGGGACGCAGGTAATACCAGTTTTCTGTGGATTTGGTAAGGAGTATGTGGGGAGAGGAGGAGTAGAATGACGCGTCGCATTCTGGATGTACGTGTTGCGAGGATTTAGACGACCGGCTCTCTCGAGTAGAGGGTGCTGGGATGTTTGGACGCCATTGAGAGAGAGAGGGAAGCTTGACATGACTCTATCAGAAGACATGATGGATATCCGAGGGCAAAAAGGTTGTGCGTAACTGGCTAGGTAGACTGTAAACATCAAAATCAGCAAGAGACGCGACCGCCTGCGCACCAATGATTTGATGTCACCCTCCAACCACTTCTTATAGCTTCGAGCGACGATATCAGATCGTCGTCTTCTGCAACATGCTTTTGGAAGTTCCGTGCTGTAGCATTTTGTCATAAAGGTAAGGTGTTGGGACAGGTAGAACGAGAAAGGTACGTTCCGGCGAGGTAACCTGGTCCTGGCGAGTGGCTTGACGTAGTGGTTGACGCGAAAGACAAATTCAGGGGTGGCGGAGATATACCGGCACTATTCCCCGCTTGCTTCTGACCCTGATGGTCTCTCTCTTCCGCGCGTACAGGTCTGTCCTCGCCACAGTCATCAGCGTTTCGCAAAATACGTGTAGACGAATGGAGTACCACTTTGCTATTTGTCCCATATCTGACTGCAACTTCGAATTGCCCCCTGAAGGGATTTATGAACCTGATCACTCTCACTGTTCCTGTCCATGACGGTCTATGGACCAGGACTACGGCGAGGCAGATTCTACCAATCGATTGATCGCCTGATTCTTTTCATTGCTCAATTCCATGGATCTAAATGCCGTGGCTCTTTGGGCTGTGGATCTTTGGTAATTGTGGCCTGCCGAAAATCTGCGAAACGATGCCGCCCTCCATGCGACCAACCTGCAAGGGATAACTGTTCCCATTCATGATGGTCTATGGACCAGGACTGCGAGCGCGACTTGGTGGTGCAGTTGTCTGTTCTGTCATGGAGCGCCACTGGCACATTGTTGGGACATCTGACGTGCCTGAGAATAGGTCAGTGCTCCT